TTGCTGCATTTCTAAAAACCAGAGACCCGAGTTGCTGAGGTGCCTGTTCCAGCGGAGCAGGGGAACACCAGAGCTCGCTGAAGTTCGGGAGGTTTACTGGCACAATTACTCCCGTTCCCTAGAGGGACCAATAACCCTGCACAGCAGTGCTCCAGCTGCACACCAGGATTTACTGCACACTTCTCCCAGGGTTTTTGCCCCTCCAGAGTGTTGACACCAGTGTGGGCTGAGGGGGTTATTTATCTGATTTTGTATTTATGAAGACAACGAACTTCCGGCCCCCAAGGTGGATGTTTCTTTTTTTTCCCAGTTTTGATAGTTTGGGCTTTTTAAGAGAAGAATCAGGATATGTTTTAGTTTGGAGAAGTAACATAGACATTTTGAGAAGACCTCTCTGTGATGGAAAATGAGTGGTAAATAAACCTCTCACTAGAGCTTTCCCTGAAGAGACTAACACAGTGCTCTGTGCTGAGCAGTGCAGTTCTGAGAAGAAATAGGGAACACACCAAAGTGACCTCCTTGACCCAAATGTTCCAGAGTTTGTCTACTCTGATCATTGCTCAAATATGTTTCACCCAAAGTCATCTTCTTTGCTGTGGCAAAATTCCAAAACTCATTATATCCAAGATTTCAAGCAATGCTGACCTGGGTTCCCATCCACTTGTGCAGCACAGGGTTCGATGGTTCATGAAGGCACGAGTTTGTTGGTTTGTGTTGAATAAATATCTACGCATGACAAACGACAGGCAAACAATCTGTTTAAAGGGCAAGACAGCATTTTTCAGATGATTCTGGCATTTTTCTTTCAGTCTCGTGGTGCACAGAACCCCCGAACACATGGTACAGCCATCCAGAAGCTGCATCTATTGCAGTTCATTATTGTACTAATTTTTGCCATACATTAGTTGAGTGCTCATCGTAAATTCTCCTATTCACTCATTATTCCAGAACGATTCCCAAGTCTTTTCAGTGAACGATATTCCAAACCATAGGTTATTACAACTATGAATTGCAAATATTTAAAATGAATTACGCAATTTGTGCTGCAGCCAGAGAAACAAACCTTTGTCTGTGAGATGTGATTTGCAATCTCAGCCATTGAAAAATGAATTGGGCATGAATTTCAGATTGTACCCACCCCTGCAGATTTCAATTCAACCTTTGCACGTGTCCCGCCTGAATTCGGATGGTACAAATCAGAATTTAAATAGATGAATATCCAGGGATAAAAATAGGGGTTCTGGAAATTCCTACACTTGCAGAAAGCAAAACTAGAAAACAAGCAAATCATAATCTTCTCTTGAAGCTGAATATTTAGTTCTTATACACTTTCCCACTGTATACACAGATACAGCTCTAACCAAGATCTATCTCCTGGCTGTTCTTGACATCCTCAAAACACATTTTACACCATGTCTTGTCCTGTTCAAGGAGTGGGTGTCTCACACCAGCTGATGGAGAGTTCAAGAACAACACGGGTGACTGACAGGAAATCCTTTCCCCATCTTCTGGTTCACAACTTAGGGATAAAGTGGGGTGGTTGCTATAGCATTAAGAAAGCTGTAATTACCCTCATATCATGGCCAAGCCACTGTGTAGTCTCTGCTACCCAGCCCCATCACCACAGGGGTTGTGACTGGCCCCAGCTGTGCTGCAAAAAGTCTCTCCATGCCTGGGTCACCCAGAACACCACAATCCTCACAGACTACTTCAAAATAAATCAAAACAAAAGAAGGAATGAGAACTGCCTCCGTAAGTCTCAGTCTCTGTGTGGTGAGGGTGTCTGCCTCTTCTCACTGCTGTGTTTTATTGAGCTCTGCTCCTCCTTTGTATTTTTCCCCCATCTCTAATACAAATGTGAAAAATCCCAAAATGGGAATGTCAGAAAATTTTGACACTAAAATTATCAGAAGAAAAAAAGAAGAAAGGCCTTCCCTGCCTGGAAGACACTCCCACGTCAGACACATCTGAGAGCAAGAGCTCAACTTTAACAGTGACAAACACATTCCTGCACTTGCAAATGCACCAGTGAGATGGGTGGGAGCAAGGACAGAATGGTGCAGAGCTGAAGGAAAGTTCAGATCCTCTCAAGATTGGAAGTGGAGAGGAGTCACAAATCCCAGTCTTATGGTCAACCACTCCTGACTCCCTCTCAGGATAAATGGTTCATGTCAGCTTAATATAAGTGGCAAATCTCTGTGGGTTTTGGGACAGGAACTCTGCCCACAAGGTCTGTCCTTTTTGGCACTGCACCCTCTGCCAAAAAGCAGCTGTAAAATCCCACTTGCACAACTTCTCAGCTGCAGAAACTCTTGGTCAGGAAGAAAGAACTTGAGGTTGGAAGTGTGTGAGTCAGGTCCCCAGTGCAGCTCCTCAGTGGGGTTGGTAGGAAGCCAGCCCATAGAGGAAGGTTTCAGTATTTCAGCTGCTGGGTACAAACCCCTTGTACTTCAAAGCTAGCAAAGAAATGTATGTTATGTCTTGAGAGAACCTGCCTAAATAAATTTCTCCACCATCCGTGCTGTATCCAACCTTTTTGGCACTTAAGAGAGAAGCATTGAAGAAATAAAAATTCCTCAAGTGAGATTAACTATCCACAGCTACAATTAGTTGGTTTGGCTTTAATCCCCATACCTCTGCCATCATCACTGCAGAATCTGCACTGGGAAAAAAAGCGACACTTTTCTCATCAGTTATTACAAAGCTGAGGAGAACATAATTGCTCTCTGAAGTGCTGATGTGCAGAGCTGCCTCCCTCCAGCACACGGAGGGAGGAGGGGATGCAGCAGTGGGAACTGAGTGCCTTCTGCAGGGCTGGAGTGATGTGGAAAAGACAGGATGTAATTTAAGTCAATCATGAGTACGTTGAACAGAGGTGACACCCTCTTATCTGTAACAAGACTTATAAAAGTTGCAAGTGGACAATGTCCTGTCTGGGTTTGGTTCTTACTGGGTCTTTTGCAATGGGTTTGGACGAGAGGTGACTCCTCACATTTGCTTTGGCCACCACAGGGATACCAATGTCTTTAAAAAGTCTCAAAATGAGGATTTTGTCAGCTTAGGAACACTCAGCAGAGAATGAAGGAAACCACCAGCAGCTCAGCCCTCCCAGAGGTGTTCAGAGCCTCCTTGATCACTCGTTCTAGAGCCCAACTCTCTGCTGGCCTGAGCTTTCCTGTCCCCAGGACAAAGGCAGGACAATGAAGTCTCACAGAGAGGTAACAGTACAAAAGCAATGAGACAACTTGGAGACATGAGGAGTCACCAGCATTGCCATCTGCAACACTCAGAGCTCAAACTCCTGCACAAACTCCTTCCTGACTGAAGCAATTCAGCTTCTGGGCTGACACGCTCCCTGCCCTCTACATCTCCAGTCCTCATATGAGAGAGGCTGCCTGCCCTCTCTCTGCCTTGTCTACTTAACAAAAACCATCCTGTTGCTGTGTTTGCCATCCAAAAGAGACACCAGTCTCTCCTCTGTGCCTAAGGCACTGTGCTGGTCCCTGCATCCACTGGATGCCATCCTGAGAGCACAGGGCTACCCTGGTGAACCAGGGATGGGAGCAAGAGCTCTCTCTCCCCCTGCAGGGATGTGTTTTCAGCCTTCACACCTGCAGTTTCCCAGCCAGGGGGACCAGCTCCCTCGCTGTGGGATGGAGAGCTGTTCCCAACAAGGGCTGCTCTCTCACTCCTTACTGCAGCAGAGGAGCTTCTGATAGAAATACAGGCTGAGCATGGCACGGTGCCACACACCCATCACTCACAGAGAGCTCTGGGACCATGGGATCATGGTCACCAAACAGTTTTTAATCAGCAGGAGATAAATACGTTGTAATGTCCTTCATGACTTAGAAGGTTTGAGAGGTCTGTCTCAAGGTTGTGACAAGCCCTGCCACATCTCCCATCCATTATGTGGCTCAGGTCTCTTTCTAAAACTTCAGAGATCACTGGAGAAGGGAGCCTGGGCAAACCAGCAGATCAAACCCAGCTGGGAAGTGTACTGAGTCTGATTTAGTCTCCAGGAGAGTTCAGCTCTGAACACTAGGACAGTTACAAAGTCCTTATCTGCGTGTGAAGACTCATGTACACATCTACCAAAAGAACAAAATCTCCTCTAGACAGCTGCATAGAAACACCTCTGGTTCTATTCAGAGACTGCATTTGTTATGATATTACAGAATTTAACTGTACTTCCCTCCCTTCCTCCTGTGCTCTGCCTCCCACCTCTGCTCAGTGGGAAGGCAGCAGTGTCCCATCCCACAGAGTCCTCCAAGTCCCTCTGTACCCACCCAGTGCACGGCCCACACACTCTGCTCTTGCAGTGAACACACCGAGGTAGTCAGAGAAGGGAGGGGAGTGTGAGGTGTGGGGTTCAAATTCACTGGAACTCCAAACTGCCAACCCTCAGGACTGTGTACCATGGCCCATGCAAGGCACCCTGGGCTCCTGCAGGGCTGGATGGGCTGGGGCTGAGCTACAGTAAAAGGCATCTTCTGAACTGCTGAGACAAAGTAGTAACACCCCTCCTTGCAGAGAGCCAGGGAATGAATGGCTCACAGTCAGGGTGCTTGCAGAAGTTCATCCTTTGCCTTTTATCAGTTCAGAGGATGCAGCAGTGGCTGGAGGGCCTAAAAAGGCAGAACCTGAGAAGGAGCTATAGGGTTTGTGATCCCTTTCCCAGAGAAGATGGAGTAGGCAGCCTCCCCAAGGTCAAGTTGTTCCCCCGATACCAAACAACAATGCCAAAATGCACACACGACTCCTGCATTCTCCCAACTCTTCCCTGAGCACACCCCTAGAGAAAGTGCACGTGCCAGCACATACCTGTTATCTACAAACCCAGACTGCCTGAGCACCCTCAGGATTTCTCTTGCCCTCTCCCTTTCTAAATATTGAATCGATCAACACATTTCTAAGCGAAACCAATTCTGTAGAAAAACTCTGGAAAAATCCTCTTTCTGGGGACTCCAGGCATCTTGCAGCATCCAGGAAACACTCACCTCAGCACGTGTGTCGATCCATTGATCGTGGTGGTGGAGCAGGGCACCGTCTGCCCCAGGATGGAAGGCCTTCGGTATCGCTCATCCCCACAGCACAGGATGATGAGGAAGGCACGTCTGAAAGACTTGTTCAGGAAGGCGTAGAGGAAAGGGTTCAGCCCTGAATTGATATAGCCCAGCCACAGGAAAGCCGTCCACAGCTTCCCCGGCACCGTGTAGTTTATGAAAGGGTCCACTATGTTTGTGACAAAGAAGGGGGCCCAGCACAGGCAGAAGCACCCCATGATGATGCACAGGGTCTTGGCAGCTTTGGTCTCGGTCTTCATGCGGTGGGTGCTGTGCTGGTCCGGGGGGTGCTGCCGGCCGTCCGTGGGGGCCCCCGCGCGCTGCAGCACCTGGATCTGCCGGGCGTGCTCCCGCGCCGTGATGTAGATGCGGTAGTAGGCCAGCACCATCAGGAAGAAGGGGATGTAGAAGGCCACCACGGAGCAGGTAATGGCGTATGGCTTGTTGACCATGAATATGCAGTAGGTGGAGTTGGAAGCCTTGTTGAACTGCCTTTGCTGGATCTGGGGCGGTGGGAGGAAGGACAAGGAGAAGGAAGAAGGAAGGTAGTTAGAATCATGGAATCATGGAATCAGAGAATGGCTTGGTTTGGAAGAGACCTTACAGACCATCCAGTTCCAAGTCCCCTGCCTTGGGGACACCTTCCACTAGACCAGGTTGCTCCGAGCCCCACCCAACCTGGCCTTGAACACTTCCAGGGATGGGGCAGCCACAGCTTCTCTGAGCAACCTGTCCCAGTTCTGCACCACCCTCCCAGTAACGAATTTCTTCCAAACATCTAATCTAAACCTACCCTCTGTCAATTTGAAGCCATTCCCCTTTGTCCTGTCACTCCATGTTCTTGTTTATTCTAAAAGAGAATAATCCTATTATATCAAAATTATTTAATTGGGCATGTAAGGAAGTTTACCTGAAGTAAACACCAGTTGGTGTTGGAACCCTGCAATCCCTCTCAGCATGCAGCTACTGGTATCTGTGAACACCAGCAAGTTAGAAGGAAGGGCAAGGCTTGCACTGGTGTTTAGAAAAGCTGGTACAGACAGATGGGTGCCTTTTCTGGAAAAGTGGGGCAAGATATCAGTGAATGAAATCAGATACCTAACATGGCTTGTAAAATAAGCAAAATGCATCTCCCTTTTCTACCAGCTGCCTGTCCTAAAGGTGCTTGATGGGAAGCAATTTTGTCTTTGTCACCTTGTGTAGAGGCTCAGTAGCTTGCACCTGTTATTCTCCATGAGCCAAAAAGTATTCATAGGTCCTTGACTTGGCAGAGAAGGTTCCACATCTCTTTAAGGAAGCTCTTCTAAATAAGGTGTTTTCACAGTTTGCCATTTTTAATTCCTACACCTCTACACTGGAAGAACAGCAGATTTGCAACTCTTAAATCCTTTCTCTGTAGAAAGGAACCTACAAGTGAAGCCAGACTGCAGTGGGGAAAATTGACTCCTGCTGGAATTACTTACACAGGTCTTCTTCTTACTTCATCTTCTTCCTCTGTCAAGGATCACACCAAGACAGGGAATATTGGTGGGACTGGCTCAAAGCACTATCCCTTCTGGGGCAGTCTGGGATTCCTGGCAAGGAGGGACCCTTGGGCTGCAATGGCAGTGGCCAGAACTTCCTGAGAGCTGCAAAGGCCAGGGGGAAGCGAGGACTCCTGAGGTGTTTGTCAGGGCCTAGCTGAGGCTTGGCATATTTTCAAGGGACTACTCACTGAACTGTTTCATAGAGGTGGATAAAATCCTCTCCCAGAGTCACCACTGTTCCTGTGTCAGTCCTTTCAGACCGAGTAATTTCAAACCCCCTTAAAGATATCCTCCAAAACTCCAGCAGCCCCACTGTGTTGATAACAAGTAGTACCAAAGATATCTGAATGGTGTATTCTCCTTAGCTACTCACCAGATCAATGATGCCAATGCTATTCCAGCCTTGCATGATAGGGAGGAAAGAAATAAATGTTGGGATTACCCAGCACCCTCCGAGCATTACAGCGATGCGCAGTGGGGTCATCTTGTTCCTGTACACCAGAGGCTGGCAGCAGATAGCATAGTACCTGCAAGCAGAAAAGGGAGAGAGCCACTGTCATCCAAAGAGCCTTCCAAGTCTTCTAAAAATAAAATTGTAAAGCCTTTTCTCCAGCTTCTTTCTCCTGCCTTTCAAAACAGAGGAAAAAAGGAGCCTATTGCCTATTTCCGTCGATTCCCTCTTGCACAAGGAATTCAGGAAATTTCCACAGCATGAGTAAATAAGGTTTCAGAGTGACTTGCAAGGAAAAAAACAGTGTTTTCTGTTTTCCAGCCAGGGAAAAAAGGCACAGGTTAACGCTGTGGTTTGTCTGAGGTTGCAGGGCAAGGGAGTGAGTCCACACTCAGCCCCCCTCGCCCCCTGCACTGAGTCACTGAGTCCTCACCCTCCGTACTGCGATGGAGGAATTTCCCTTCCTTCCATTCAGCCTTAACTGAGCCAGTGTTGGGGCTTTCCTAACTGCAGTGGACATTTATTTTGACAAGGCTTTAAAAGCTGTTACTGCAAAGTCTTTCAAAGCTGTGAAAATGTCAGTAAAAAGAAGAGTGGTTTTCCATAACCAAGCTCCCTTTCTACCTCCCAGAAATCTACCTCTTGTCTGGTTGGGATTTAACCTTCTGGCACAAGGACAAGGAAATATCTGCATGGGGTTTCCAGTCTTTGCATCATCGGGGGGTGTGCCTTGCACTCTCCTTCCTCCTCCAGATCCATTCACATTCAAAGTACAACAGGTCCCTGCTCCTAAAATAACAACCAGCTATAAACTAAAAATGTTTTCTGAAAGAGGTAAGAAACCAACTCTTCTGTTTGTTTGGTCCCTGTGCCACCCACCTGCAGGTGGATTTCTGCATCAGGGAGGTGCAGCGAACCTAAAACTGGAAATCTCTTTGCTTTGAAAATATTATATATTTATAAGCAGGGCAGATCAGCAAATATCATCCTACTGCAGACTTTTGGTGGTCCTGACCTGACAGTCTGTCTCAGGTCCCCAGTGAAATATTTTTTGATCTTTAGATTTTTGATGTCCCCAGACCTGCCCCAGGACTGGGGTCCAGAGGCACAAGAAGAGCCCACAAATTCTCAGACTTTCTAAATAACTAAATATATCACTCAGCTCTATGCCTGAGGAACACATCTTCTTAGCAGATGAATAATGATCATGCCAGAGATGATCATCATCTCAACACAGGGGAGCTGTATCTGACACATGTAATTGTTTATTATCTGAAAGTCACCTACTGGAAAATATACTTTCCACATTTGGGAAGCACAAAGAGGATGCAATATGGTGCCTCATAGGATACGAGCCCTGCACTGAAGAAGCAGCCACAGTTCCAATAACTGTTTCTAAATGGAATGAATGATCTGTCTGAGATTTTTTTGAGTCAAGCCTCAGCATAAGGTATAATGTGTATATAGAGAGAGATTCACTGCTGAATGGCTCTAAAAATCAATTTTATGAGGTTAGCAGAATCATAAATTAGAGAAATTAAATTAACAACCACACACTAAAGCTGGACTACGAACCTCAGGAAATGCCTGTGAGATTTTCTAAGTGCTAGCAGCACATTCAAATAAGACATGTGGATGCACACATAGACACAGTTTATGTGTGTTTATTAGACAGGTGTCCTTTGAGATGTGCAATTTATTTCATCAAGATTTGAGTGGGAACCAAGAGTTTTGTCCTAAACAGGCACAAAACTACAAGAATTTCCTTTTTTTTTTCTGAGACTTTTTTTTTAAAGTCATGTGGAGTCAACTGACTTGCTTTATTTTGATAAAATCAGGTGATATATTCCACACAAAGGGTTGAAATAATATCAAAGTGTCAAAAGAAAACATTTTTTAAAAGGCTCTTTGAAACAAGATTCGAAGTGTCACAGGGGAAAAATGTTGAAACAAGCATTCAAGTATTGCAATTTGATAATTCCTACATTCTCTTCTGGTTTCTTGCGTGCATGAAAATCAGCCTGTTCCTCTGAAAAGTTACACTTCCAAAGAAATGGTGTGTTTGACAGGAACTGTTCTTTTAGATCAGTGGGTGAAATGTTCCTCTCCTGGAACTTGGCTGTGGCAGCCAGTGAGGCTCATCCCTCCCATGAGGGACAAGGAGAGGCCGGATAATTTACAGGATTTAGTTTTGGAGCTTGTCTTCACTGGCTCATGAGCTCAAAGATTTCCAAATTAAACTGGGCACAGCCCTGAGTGACCTCACTGAAGGAAGATGAATTTAAGTTTGGCCCTGTATTGAGAAGAGGGGCTGCATCAGAGACCTCCAGAGGTCCTTTCCAACCTACATTTTTCGCAGTCTATCAGACAGTGAGGACCATCACGGCCAGTTTACAATATGTAAATGATTTCAGAGGATAGAATAAACCTTTCCCTTGTTCCTGGGATAAGGACCCTCCCTAGAACAGCCACAATGTGTTTGTGTGACCTTGCCCTCTGTCACAACAGCTTATTGCATTTGGATTTCCCCCTCCATCCCTGATTCCCTTTGCCCCAGGAAATAAACTGACCTTTGAATTCAAACAGGTATTTTCAGCAATGTTTATTAGGACAGATGGTACTTCCTTGTCACTACATGCAGCTGCTCCTCTGACTCTCAACACAAGGGAATTATATCTGGCATAATAATAATAATAATGGCCAGTCTTCGCGAGCGAAGATCCGGGGAAGGTCTTTCCACCTTCCAGCCTGCGCATTGGATTTTTTAGGTGAGACACAGTGTGCGCGGAACTGAGCCCACCCTTTAATCCTAAGGTTCATCTGCCGGGGCCAAGCGAGCTTGGACGGTGGCAGTGAGGTCCTTAGGACGTAGGTGGGTTGCCTTTAAGGGCTAACGAGCCCCACCTGCCCGGGAGTGGCCCTGACCGGGAATCGAACCCGGGTCTCCGCGGTGATAGCGCGGCGCCTTTACCCCCTAGACCACCAGGGGCTCCATATCTGGCATATTTAATTGTTTATTATCTGAAAGTCACCTACTGGAAAGTGCTGCCCAGCTTTGGACATCAAAGGCAAGTTACTGCAAGTCACAAGAGACTCCATTTATTTGCAGAAAGGGCAAAAGAAGAAATTCAATAAAAGGATAAGAACAGCCAAGGTACCAGTTACCCTCTCACAAGTTGGATAAGCAAACAGAAAAGGAAAACCACAATATATTGCTAATTAACTACAGCACGAAAACAATTCTTCCAGGCAGTTTAAATTATCACATTTCTGTACCTCTCTCTCTTCTTCAGCTGTCAGCCTTACACTGAATTGTTCATGCTATTAAAGGCCATTAGAGTAAAAATTATGCCTGTAAAAATGACATCTTAAGCTCTCATATTTCTTCCCTCCCAGTGATTCAGCAGCAATTTTCCTCCACTTACATGTCAAAAGATTTTATTTTATTTCTGCTGCTACCAGAGCTTCCCTGTGTTCAGCAAGTGTCACTGTTATGGGTAACAAGGTGCCACGATGGGAGTGTGGGTGACAGTTTTGCTGATGGGGAGGGAGGCAGGGAAGGAAAACGTCCACTTCTCCAGAGCCCGGCAGGATTTCCCTCCAACAGCCCTGGGAGTCAGATGATAGACATCTCTGTATGCCAACAGAAGTCTCTGAAGTCACACCAGGTTTTGCAGTACCTGGTGATTTGATGTATGTGATGGCTTGAGATTTTAAGCAGCTATTTATTCACTGGGAGAAAAGTAATTATGTCTTTAAGATTATCAATAGTTTCAGTCAAAGGCTGAAAATAAAGACATACTCTATATTTCTGCTTCCTTTCAAGCTAAAGCTGTTTTTCCTGGTTCATAAAGAATATTTATTATGTGTTGGTGTGACAGTGTGATGGATGAATATAAAATGCAATACATACAAATGATTAATACAATGTCCAGGTTCAATTAAATATTAATTCTTACTATGATCAGTCAAGACCCATGTTTCTGCAGTTCCTTGAAAATGTTAACTTCTCTGTTACCTACAGTAGAGCAGACGATGTGAGACACATCCTCTCCTTTGCCTCTGCAATGACATTCTCTGCTGAAGGGGAAATACAAGAATCCCTTTCTGGAGCTGTAGATCTTCCAAGCAGCACCATAAAGCAAAGGTTATTATAATACTTCCCCTTTCCTCTATCAGACATTTGCCACAGGAATGAATCAAGTGCTAACTTTTCACAGATGCCTTAAAAGAAGAAATCCATGGCTCCAATGTCCTCACTTGTGGCTCTTGTGGTCACTGCATCATAGAATCACAGGGCAAAAACCTTGGAAGAGCCCTGAAAGACCATCCTGCCACGGGTTGCTCCTGGAAGCACCTTCCAACTTAGCCTTGAACACTTCCAGGGATGGGGCAACCACAGCTTCTCTGGGCAACCTGTGCCTCACCACCCTGAGGGAAAGTATTTCTTCCTAATATCTAAACCAAACCTCCTCTCTGTCAGTTTTAAGCCATTTCTCCCTTGTCCTGTCACTCCAGGCAGTCTCTCTCCATCTTTTTTGCAGGCTCCCTCCAGGCCACAATTAGAAACAGCATTGCAGTCCAACACACTGGTGACCTGGATCTGACTGACAGCAGCAGAATTCAGCTGTGCTCCATAGCAAGGAAGGTTATTTATTTATCCAAGCACCTCCTCAGTCCCGTGGCAGTGGAAAAGCTGCCCTGGGCACCTCTCCAGAGAGCAGTCTTGGAGCATTCAGATTCTGCCTCAGGATCAGTGATGCTCCAACCACAACACTGCTCTTTCTTTGCCTTCTGGGCATTACAGAAATATAATTACTGAGCTGCAGTAGATAATTCCTTGCCCTGGGAGAAAAATTTAAGTATCTCCCTGCTTTGCAATGCAATTTTGTTTGAGCTACGGGCATGTAGATACTACCCTGCAAGAAGCTCTTCAGATATCACAGACAGACAAATACACCCCCACCTTTACTAAACAGACTGGCTCTGGGGGTGGCCCACATTTAAAACCATTTGGTGTCATGTGTATATATATAAAATTATATACATACCATATGCTTTATCATCACTGGGACTAAAATGAGCCAAAGAACATTTACTGAACACTCATATTGAATATTAGTTTACCCTCCTCAAATAACCTGGGAAAAAGAAGACAAAAGAATGGGAAAACTGTGGGTGCTGTTGGCTCTCTCCCAAAGTTATGGTGCAACAGCCATGCCCACACAGGCACCCAGACTGAGACAGAGTCTCCAGCTGAACCCTGACCAAGTGATGAACCTAAGGAGCCATGATCTCAATTTATTTGTGCCTGTGTGAAATTAAAACAGCACTACTGGTGTTGCTGAGATTGCAGTGAAACCAGGTTCTGGCCTCTGTGTAACTACATTTTAACATTTTTTTGGAAAGAACAGCTCTTTCTGTTTTCCTTTTTCCCACAGAGCAAATAAGCTTTGGGCTCTCACTGTGCCAAATAAAACAAAGTTATGCACCACCGGTCCAGAAAAGGAAAATGTCCTAAAATGATTATATCTAACAAAATTAAATTCTTATTAGAAAAACAACGGCCTGCTGGTGTTGAGATAATTACACTGAGAAAAATGCTAAAGAGAACAGTTAATTGGAACTGGATAAATTTAGCCAGGAATACAAACAAACGTATGTTGCCAAATGGAGACAGAGGACTCCTCCGTGGTCCCTGCGTGGCTGCTGCGTGTGGAGGGTTATTGGCAGCAACAGTGGTAAAATAAATTACCGGATTTCTAGAGGGTTTGTAAAGATCAATAAAGGACAGTGCATCCCTCAGACTGTGCCATGGCCATCTGCTCTGGTATTTTTCTTAATGCTCTCGGACCTGAATTCTGCAAACCCTGGATTAGTTTTCTGGCCAAGAGGGATAACTCTGCAGGTACGTGTCACCTCTCACAGCCTCGTGGACAGTCCCCACGTGCCCTTGCTCAGCCCCTTCCTGTGCTGCCTCTCTGCTCGGCACCTGGGAGTTGCACAAGATCGGATGCCTTTTTACCCAAACAGGCACAGGGATTTATAGTCTCAGAACTTTAGCTGGAATTTGTGCCATATAATCAGATTGCTGACTGCCTAATCATTACTTACTGACAGCTATTTAAAGCCTAATAAGTCTCCCCACTAACGAGCTCCCCGTCCCCCTGGACAGCCAGCAGATGTTCTGCTGGCACAGCTGCCTCTCCCTGTCCTGGAAAAAGACATTGTGCTCCCAACCTTAAGCCCTACCATGGCCTGGGCATTCTTTGGGAAGCAAATAGCTCTTAGGAATGGTCCTATGCAGGGCTAAGAGTTGGACTCGATGACCCTTGTGGGTCCCTTCCAACTCAGCATGTTCTGTGATTCTGTGAAATCAGTCCCTTGTGCCTCGTCCGTGACACGGTGCAGGAGAGATGAGCATGGAGTGATGTGCTGGAGCCCTGGGAGCAGGAGGAGCAGGCGCAGCAGGCAAAGGGAGTGACCACCCCGTGACCCTGGACGTGCTCCTCCAACCACGCTCCATTCCCCCTGGCATAGGGACAGGGCTCCTTCTGCACAGGGACTGCCACTGCAGAGCATCGGGGCTTGGGAGCCTCTAAAACATCATCTCTCTCCAGGGATTGTGCTAATTTGATGTCTGAACAGTACATTAACGTTAATTAATGTTTGTAAACAGCGTAACAAGCATCTGTCACTCTGGTGCTCCAACACTCTTCGGGTACATCTGCTTTGCTTTAGCCCTTATTTAGCAGTGATTATGGGGGATGTTTGAATTCCGGTAAGATGAGCGTTGGATGTACAAACACACGCAGTCAGGGCTGGTTTGTCGTGTGCAAATGTTTGGAACACGCCAGGCAAACAGTGCCCAGCAGAGACACAGCCTTTGGGGGAAGCTTCCCAGGCTGGGATACAGCCAGGGAGGTGGAGGAAGCAGAGAGCACAGACATTTAGGACCTGTTTGTTTCTCTGTTGCTTCCCCCTCCCGCCCAAGACTTCGAGAAGTAGCTGTATTGCAAATTGTACTGCAAATATTGGAGAAGAAAACTGCCTTTCCTGACAGGTTAACTGTATTGGAGACTATCAGAGCTTCTTGGCCTGCTTATGTGCAGTGCAATTATTTTTATTGCACAGGCTCAAAGAATGGACATGTATGCATAAAACATGCAATAAATAAATAATTTAAGCGTAAATCTGTCTATTATATTAGAATGTCAAAGAGATGATGATAGAGCATAACACAGTGGCTGGAAACTCTGGATTCAGTGAGCCCTGAGATACCCCTGCTACCTTGGAAAAACCATTTTTCAGCTGAGACTGAAAGTGGCTCTAAGTCTCTGCAGTACCTTGCTCCCTGAGCAGTAAAATTAGTTTATCCTGTGGTGATTTCTCCAGATTTTCTCAAATGCCTTTGAGAATTAAAGCTGGAATGCTGGTTTGTTTCTTTCTTTTCCAGAAGCAGCAATGAAAATAGATACAAGATATTATCAGATAAAAGTATTTTCAAGCAACGCTTTGTGAAAATGTTAAAGGGAATGACTTCCAAACGGAGTCCTTAGGATTAGATTAACCACCCAGTTTTCTTAAAAAATGCCCCCCAAAACTCATAATTGTATGCCCTGAAACAGAACAGAAAGCAGGAAATAGATGAATCACAGAAAAAAATACCAACTAGAAGCAGCACACTGCCATAAAGTCTGAATGAACACGAGGGCAACAGGCAGCAAAAATTAAATCAAACCCTGTGAAGGAAGCAAAGCTGCCAGTGCTCCTCCAGCTGCCAGGACCAGGGAAGCACTGGGCATGGAGAACAGATCAGTGATGGGCTGAGTCATCCTTCCCTTCACAGACACCCAGTCATTCATCTACCTGCTCTGCACTTCTCAGGGCCATCCACTTTTGCCTCCTTATCTATTCTGTCCTCTTAGCACTCTTTGGGTTCTTGTTGTGGAAAAAAACAACCCCAAAACAACTAAAAATTGTGAAAGAAATTGGGAGTTTCTATCAGCAATCTTTAAAGTCCAGGTCTGGGGTCTGTAACTCTAATGCAGTAACTCTGAGCCACACATTCTGATTGCCAAGGCTGTCCCAACCCCTTTGCCACCCCAGACAAGGGACCAGTGGGTACAAGCAGCAGGAGCAGGAGCTCATGACGTGGTGGGGGTCTGCAAGAGGGCAGGAGAAACGGGACAGCCTCCTTTCTGTGCACCCCACATGGGAGGTTCCTCATCCCCTGCAGGTGTTGGAGATCAGGGGGTGAAATAGCATCTTCCCTTCATGCCCCCTTCTCTACACAACCCCCTTTAGTTAATTAAGAGCCTGGGGAATCAAAGTCCAGCATTTTATAGAACAAGGTCACATCCAGAGCACGGTGCCCAACATCTGCTTTCCTGGTAATTGGCTCAAAGTGGCAATTCGTCAACGTTTTTGAGATAACGAGCTTCCTATTTGTGTTCCAGCCATCTCAATGTCCAGATAAGGGAAGAAGCCGTAGCTGTTTGACGTCAGCTTTTCAGTGGATACAAAACTGCCCATGCTGGTGCCCTCTCTCCCACCACAGAGCTGTGCTGCCCATCAATGGGAGGTTAATCAACTATCTTTTGAAGTCTGGCTCCACACAGACTCTCTGGATGCAAGATGCTCTTTAAATATCAGTTGTCACAATGATGAGAATGATTACGGTTATTTAAGCCATATTAGTAATACTAAGTAACAGTATTTTTAACAGTATTGAAATCTCCACACAGAACTCAAACAAAAGCTCTAAATATTGTCAGAAGAGCTGGTCAGAATGTTTTTTGCTAACTCTTTGTCTTGTGAAAAATTCTTGCTGTTCTGTATGGGAACTTCTGTCCTTTACCCTGAAAAACCACAGACAACAGCTAAAAGGAACTGAGCCCCTGGCTTGATCTCGGCATAGATCTCATTCCTTCCCAAGTTCTCCTGCACTCACCAGGATTCAGACAGCTCTCTCCAAAATCAGCCACTGAGAGAGAGATTTGTTGCTCTGTGGTGCCCAGCAGGTTCACCTTTGCCCTTTGGCTACTCCAGCTAACCAAAGGCACTGCAGGGAACTAAAGCCCTGTGACTATTGCCAGTGCTCTCCTGCTCGTACCTGTCCAGCGAGATACAGCACAGGTGCAGGATTGACGCCGTGGTGAGCAGCACATCGAGGGACGTCCGGACCAGGCAGAACATCTCTCCGTAGATCCAGTTGTCCTGAACCAACTCCATGGCTCCAAAGGGCATCACCAGCACTGACACCAGCAGGTCCGCAAAGGCCAGGGAAACTATGAAATAATTGGTCTTGATTTTCCTGTAAGACAGAGCACAAAATTAGGGTGGGATAACTTCAATGCAGCCGCCTCTGCACTGAGATTTCAGACAGATTTTGGGTCTAATTTGCTCCCTCACACCAGAAGGTTGTCTCTAACGTGGTCCTCACTTTCCACAATCACCCCTAGCTTCTTCCTTTCCAGCTAAATATCCACCATGTTCTCTGTATAGACACATCTTTCTGCTCACACAGAGGAGGCAAATAGATGCTCACAGGTCTCTGCATGTGGCTCAGCCTCACAGCTTGCACTGGAGTTTGGGGTGGAAGAGGGGGATTTCATTTTAACTTGTAAATTAATAAAATCCTTCCAGAAAGCACTGAGAATAATCTAGACTGAAGCTGTAATTTTAACTTGAAGAGTACTTTTTAAATCACAACAATAAAATAGAATTAAATCCATTAAAAATCCCACGCAGAACACGAACAGAGGCTGTTAAATACCTCACTCTGCTCCTGAGGCTGGTCTGACAATTCCCAGGGTTAGCAGCAACCTCAAAACAGGAAAACAGGAATTTTGTCTGTGACCTGCCCCCCCGCAAAATCATGGGCAACATTTGCCAAGGTGAGGCAGTGCAGCACAACAGACCTCGATCTGCGTGGTTTTCTGATGGGCTTGTTAGGAAATATGAGAAGGAAAAAAGGGGTAGAGGCCAACCTGCTTCTCCAAGGAGTTGCTGCTTAGCACTGTTTTCCGCTGAATTATCTGGTTTCCTACACTGAGAATGTTAAACATGTCGAGGATGGATACTAAAATGATCCCACCACCGGGGCACAAGTAGGGATGCGTGAGGCCAGTGCGAGTCTGACACTGCCGTGGTGCAAGGAATGGTCAGACACCCTTTGTCGTGGCAGTTCATGCCCTCAGCTGCAGGCACGGGGCGTTGCAGGTGGGGGATTTCCCTGTTCCTCCCAGGGGAGGGCAGGCGGTGGCCGGCTGGGTGGGCTCACCTGAGCTGCCTGTCCCGGCACACGGCCACCATCACCAGCAGGTTCCCCAGGATGGCCATCAGAATGACGGCGGAGATGAAGGTGAGCAGCACGATCTTCTCCGCTATGCCGAAGCCCTCACTCGAACTGGGGAGCACACAGAGAGAAAAGAGAAAAGAAAAGAAGCTGCAGCAGCGCTGGAGGGGATGGCCCAGGCGGTGCCAGCCACGGGCACCGGTGTCGGTGAGGGTGGGAGCAGCCTCCCACACCCGTCACGGAGAGACCTTCCCACCAAGATCCTGAACAAAAAGCATTTCTATCTGTGTCCATTTCTATCCATGTCCGTTTCTATCCATTTCCATCCATCAGCACAAAGGCTACAGGTGGAGGGTGCCTGCAGTGCCCACAGCTGCCCAGAGCTGGATGAGCCACCATGGTGGAGGAGCCCATTTATGAGATCTGGAGTGAGCTGTGCCTGATTTTTGGCAGTCCAATTCAGAGCCTCCAGACAAGAATGTTTTCATTCTCTTTTCACCCCAGTAAATAATGTTATTTTCCATGCAGTAGTCTGATTTTCTTTTCTGTTGTTTTTCCATTTTTGGCCCCAGGGTCTTCGTATCATAACATCACCAAATAGTTTGGCTTGTGAGGGACCTTAAAGACCATTCCATTCCACCCCCTGCCACAGGTAAGGACACCTTCCAGTAGACCAGGTTGCTCCTTCTTCTGTCACTGCAGTTCCTGGGTTGATAGGACAAGAACTACTGGGTTCAAACTTTCCTCAAGTGAGCATTCTACATCTTAAATTTTGAAATCTTCTACATAATATTTTCCCTTGTTCCCTCCTTCCTTCACTCTGCCACAAAAGAAGAGGAAGCCTGGTACCTTTTTTTTCCCTTTTTCCAGAATTAGGAAAAGGAAATAAAATGTTTTACTGTTGTATGCCCAATTTCCCCCTGTCCTGAAATCAAAAATTTATTTTCATTAATGAAGAAAAGAAAAAAGAAGGATAACATGAAAACACATATTTTATAAGTCTACATTTCTAGAAATAGTTTGCTAAATGTTTCAAAGAAATTATTGGTGGAGTTTTTTTCAGAGCCTGTAAGGCAGGAAGCTAATACACAGCATGCAATAAAAGATGTCCAATTCCTCATAAAACTGGTTTTATTACAAAAGTTTGAGCCACTTTTCCCTTAAAACTATTTGTAATGATGTATTCAGAATAAAACACATCCTAGACCTTCACCTGCTTGTGTAAGTTTCCCCATTACATTACCCAGGTGAGAAGGGGTGTTTGTTCGTCTTATCAAGTGTGGCTAGAAATAAACTGGCATTAAGAGCAGCACTTGACACTAATTCAGCAGGGAAATTTCTTCTCAGTGTACGGAGCTGATATTCGACACCCAGGATTAATGTTGAGAGATTGTTCAGGTAATTGAAAAATTGAACTGTTATTCTGTTTTACCTTGACTGCCTCTGGGGTCACTTTTTATTTACTAACTAACATTCCAGGCTTTTACACTTTATCTCACTGAATGCTCCTGATCTGGGCAAAGCTATAAATTATTAGAGGCTGCTGAAGTCCTGCCTGTGCCATGTTAAGAAGGTTCTAGAGAATGACTTTACCCTGAGCCTGCATTGCAGAACACCCACTTAATCACAATCCCCATTTTTGTCCCTAAAAGCCACTCAGAGTATGACTTTTCCTCCCACTGCCAGTTGCCCCAGTGGGGCAGACTGCAGCCTGCTGATGTTGGATTCTTCATATGGAATATGAACAATATGGTAGGAATTCCTTAATTTTTGATGTTGTACAAGGCAGTACATCACTAGCTATAGGTTCATCCAGGCAGGTGAGGATGTTTATGAGCAAAAAAAAGAAGAGGAAAGGAGAGGCCCTTCACTCACACCAGTTTCACAGGAAAACCCAGCACTATGCAGATATGTGCAGGCTCCAAACCATGTGCAATTATATGGGTATAATAAGAAAGAGAATCATAGAATATCCTGAGTTGGAAAGGACCCACAAGGATCATGGAAGTCCAGTTGCTGTCCCTGCACAGAACAGCCCCAAGAATCCCACCATGTGCCTGACAGCATTGTCCAAGCACTTTTAACTCTGTCAGGCTTTCTCACCTGTGAGAGAACAGGTACCTTTTAATTCCAGATAATCTCCTGTGTTAAAACTAAGAGATTAATAAATGTCACATAGAGTGGACAGTTGGATGTATCCCACCTCACTACAAGGTTTTCACCCAACAGAATTGGCCACTGGCCACACAGCTGCTCCTGGAACAGGATGTCACTCATTCCTCTCATTAAAAACCACTCTCTCTCTCCCCCGTCCATCTCCATACACATCTGATCTGAAAGACCTCATTTTCCTCAGTCCTGCACTGGAGGTTTGGGGAGGGAGGAAGATGGGAGCTGCTGACACATGAACCTGCACTGCAGCAAAGTCCTCTGGAAAAGGATGAGCAGCTGGTGGGCACCATGCACAGCAGGACACACAGACCACCCAGGCCCACTGTGTGCTCTCCTCTGCAAGGGGCTGCTGCACAGTTGGAGAGGGTCAGACACTGGCCAAGAATCAGTATTTTTGGCACAGCTGAATGCCAGAGCCTTCATTAATGATGTTCATCAGCAAAAAAAAGACACCATGAAAATTGAAGGGAAATGGAAAAGAAACAATTTCAAAGTCAGGTCTCAGCCACAGCCCTTCTAGCTGGGTACCAGGTGGGATGAAAAGCCTCAGGAACAATGGGGTGGAGGAATCAAAGGCACCTTCACTGAGAGCTGCAATTGTACCTGCCCAAATAACCTTCACAATAGGCTGACGCTGCTGTCTGGCTGCATTTGTGAAACAAAATGTCAAACCACGCTGAATAGCACCCACAAAAGAAGTTCCTCTTCCTCCCAGGTGAGTGTGGCAGCACGTACATGCTGGCACAGCAGCAAAGAGGATGAAGAGGGTTTAGTTTATACAGAGCCAGGCTGAGTTAGATTTATATTTTGCCTTATCTAGCTTTGCCTGTCCTTCTGCTGTTCCGAAACAATTCTCATCGCTGTGTTATTTGAGCACCTTGTATCTGTATCTGCAGTGTGTACAGAGGGGAGGGACAGCTCCCTCATCCCCGAGCCATGCTGGGGGTGAGCTGGCCATCAGCTGTGGATGGGGTTCCTCATTCCAGCATGCAGTGCCCTGGAAGGGGACATCTTCCCCAGGGGAAAAGCCTATTGCCCCATACAGAGACCTCCCTCCCTTCCAGCCTCATCAGCTGCCAAGAGCTGTGCACATGAACAGACACTGAAGAGAATTACCCCCCCTTGGGTCTTCTTGGTGCACAGATTTTGAGTTTTTACTCATCAAAACAATCTCTGCAACTGCCTAGCCCTGAGCCACATCTCACCAGATGTTGCCCTGCCTGAAAACCGACGGGTTCTTTGACTTCAGGCAGGAACAGGGAGATGTTTTAAGCCCTGAGGGCGGTGGCACCCTGGTGGCATCACTTGCCTTGGCTGACCACAGCCCAGGGCTCTGAGCAGAGCCCAGCAGATCAGGAACACATACTGGCACTCTTACCAGTGGAACGTTTGTTCTGATAATAGTTTCGGAAGCAGAGAGAGTATTTCTCTCATGCCATGTTGCATTGCTCCCCTGGGGAACATTAAACAGGCATATGCATCACTGGGGGTGCAGGAGAGAGGTTCATCTGGGCTGTGTGGCTGTACATCTGCCTTTTGGATAATCTATCATCAAGTAGAAATACTTGTTAATTATTCAGTCTTAGTAATTCAAAGTTGTTAATAATGGAAGAAGTGGATATTGCTGTAAATTAAAATCAATGGTTTGCATAACATCTTTTATCAAATCTGAGTGCTCTGGCTTCCAAGCTTGCTTCCCTGTTTAACAAAGCAGAGATTGATGGGTTTGCTATTACAGGGAAATGAGATTCAGGCAAAATGATTGTTGGTTAGTAGGAATATAGAAATCACTTAAGGAAAAAGGTGAAATACTGATGTGGAATGAATGGTTAAAACCCACATATGGACATATTTAAAAGGCTCTTCTGCATAGCCATTAAAGTGAAGGCAAAAAAAAGGATAATTATTTTTTCAAGCTCAATTTCCACTTTCCTGTAAACACTCCAACTTTCCTAAATGAACTCAAGTGCTTTTGCATATTTTGTGAAGCAATTAAACGGCATAGATCAGTCATGTTGGTCAGAGCACGCACATTGCTCTGGTTTCCATCCCACATCCCACCCTGACCTCCCCACCACAGCAGCAGGAAAAAGCACTGATAACCAGCTCAGTGCTGGGAGCACCTTGGGCACTGCACAGATACTCCTGCAGGAGTGAGAGATGGGAAAGAGAGTCAGGGCTGGATAAATAACGATCTGCTTTGGGGGGCAGAGGAGCACAGCTCCAAACTGGAGGGCAATGACTCTGCCTGCACAGGTAACCTGGAGCATCTCCTGGAGGGAGCCAGGGACTGTAGAGAGCACTTCCTAACAAGGGATGTGCACAGTTCTCACTGAAGAAGATTAAAAGCTGAGAGCAGGGTTAGCCTAGGAAAGAGCTGTCTTCTTGATTTAACAGTGCCCTCAGCGTACAGGGAATACATGGAAGATGTTGGTTCACTTTGTTTTCAACCAAGCCATGGCATTTCCCTCTGTAACTCAAGCTGACGTGATATTTCATGGAGGTCTTTAACTACAAACAAGCTGTCATTTGCCTCTCCTCTTTTCTACTCCACTGATTGTTCCTAGGTATAAAATCAGAGGCTGAGTCTTAAACACTTAAAAATCAAGATAAACTATTTTATGAGTAAACCTGACAATGTGTGTCTCAGTATAGAAACATGACAATAGGAAAGATATTATTTGATCTATGGCTTTCCAGCTGTTACCATATTCTTTTCTACTGCCACCTAAAAATATTAATCAGAAGTCAGCATTAATCCAGAAGCATATAATTTCCTCTAATGCCTTTAAATGCCACCCTGCCTGTGCCGCTTCGCTGCAGATGGCAGGACAACTCCTAACAGATTCAAGTCAATTATGCACTTCACTTCTGTTTTAGAAACAGATTGAAATTAATTAAAGTATTGACAGGCCAGAAATAAACAGCATTCCACGTAT